GTCGTGTCACCCTGGACAGCTGAGCAGGGAGATCCCATGCTCCAGGGCACAAAGCTGGGGCTGGAGGTCCTGGTGGCCAGTTCTTGCACAATGTGGCACTGTTAGTTGGGAGTGGGAGGTGGGGAGTTCCCCGCTGTTTGGCCATGGCCATAGGCTGAGGTGCCATCGGTCTGCTGTGCTGCGAGGGATGATCCTGGCATCGGTTCACCCAGTGGTTTAGTGACTGGAGGTTAGTTCCTTTCCCATCCAGTGCTGTCCCTGACCCCAGCCTAGGTAGGACACATCTGGGGGGCAAAGTGGGACATCTCAAAACTGAGATGTGAGGTAGGCACATGCCTGAAGTAGCCAGTGAGAAATGCCAAGGAGAGACAAGCACCTTGGACCGCCTTCAATTTAGGGTTTACAGCCTTCAGCTTGGCTCTGGCAAGAGGTGTTCCCACAGGCTGGAGGTGGGCAGAGCGTTCTCCATCTCCCACCATCCAGGTGAGTGTTTTAACCTCCAAGCTTGGTGGTTCCCCAGGGAAGTTTCTCTGCCTGTGGAAGACCTGTGTCTGTGCCGGGTGCTTGTGGAGCTGGCCACATTTCAGGCCCACTTGTGTGGGCATCTGGCAGGAGCCATGGTAGAGGGGGCAGGGTGGACATGCTGCCGGCTGTGCTGAGCTGACCTTGTGTCCTACCTGGCAAGCCGTGCAGGGCAGGGGGGCACATCAGCCCCTTCGTGCCACCAAGCAGAGGGGAGCAGGGTGCCTTGAACTGCAGCTGGTTTCATCACACCCGGTGGCAGTGTGACACGGACCTGTTGTGGGAGGGCTGGCTCTGCCCCAGGGCTCCTCTGGATGCCGGCCTGGTCCTGCAGCTTCGGCCAGGTTTGGGTGATGGGGATGAGGTGGGACTAGCTGGCTGGCCTCAGTTAAAAGGGGCTGTTTCTCCCGTGGTCTGGGTGGGAGCAGGACCAGTACAAGCTGTTTCCCTCCTCATAACAAGGCAGGGGATGACAACACGGTGGCTTTTTAATTTTGACTCCCCTCTATTTGGGAGAATGAGTCCAGAGCTTCCGACACAAGAGGAAAGATGAGATCTGTGTCTCCCAGTGCCTCTCTGCCTCCCACCTAGACAAGCTCTGTGGCCGGCTGGTTCCCGGTATCAGCAGCTCGCTGATGGTGGGGCGCACGGGGCTGGGGGCTGTTGTCTGGGGCTGTTGCAAACCCCGCACCAGCACTCGGGGGCTGCCTGGCCTTGAACTGCTTTCCAAGGTGAGGGGCTGCCCTGGGAGCCTCAAGGACTGTCAGGACCCTGTGTCCCCCGTCATGGAGCTGCCCCCACGGTGGGTGTCCAGAGGAGTCCTCGTGTGGGAACTGCGCTGCCTTGTCCCTCGGGCTTTGCCAAGCTTTTGCCAAGTCCTGGGCTTTTGCTTTGCCAAGTCCTGGGCTGCCGCTTGAATCCCTGCCCTGGACCTTTACTTCTAGTGGGACTCCTGCCATATGCTCTGCCCTCTGATTTGGACTTTCAGTGGTGGCTTGCTGAGAGTTTGGTGTGAGGCCAAGTGGCACCTGCAAGGTCGATGGCATCCCAGCCAGGAGAGGGGACTGATGGAGATGGAGGATTCTGCTGGCTCCTGGTCCCACCCTGGGAGAGAAAGCAGCTGCCCCAGAGCTGGCAAGATGGAAGATAGCTGTATAGATGCCTATGGGAAGGGGCTCTGTGGGAAGCGTGCTGGTTCCTCTGTGTGCTGGTATTTCAGAAGCTGACCCTACACAGCAGACCCTTCGTTGCTAACAGAATTGCGGAGGCCACTCTGTAGGGGAGGCTGCTGGCAGCTCTAAGCAGTTCATCTCTGACGGCATGGTTGAGTGACTTCCCTTCTGTGTCCGCAGCAATCTTGGCGGTAATATCATCAATGAGGTAGCCCTGGACTTCTGGCGAGCCGGCCGGGCACGGGAGGAGATCTCCATGGAGTTCCGGGAGCATCGGCTGCGGCTGGAGCTGCTGGAGCCTGCAGGTAAGAGCTGGACTTGCTTGCAGGATGCTGTGGGCAGGCTGCCCCCAAAACTTGCCCCCGGCGCCAGCTCGGAGCCTTGTTACACGGTACCATCCACCCGGTGCCGCACAAGTGTGTGCGCTGTGGAACAAGCCTTTATTCCAACACCCACCCTGGGGTTATTTGTGATGCGAGCCCCTTCCTTCATCCACATGAGCACGGCACCGCTGCAGCAGCGAGGCACACAAGGAGGAAGCTGTGACGACTCCTTGCCCCTTCAGCCCTGGCAGTGGCCAGGTTGCGAGAGGCAGCCTAACACCATGGGGAACCATCAAGGCTTCTTTGGGGATTCATGGCCTGAGGTGGGCAAGCCATGGTGACGTTCTGTGTTCAGACTAGGTGCTGGCCAGCTCTTTACAAGTGGAAGGGTGGCTCTCCCACTACGTCTGGCTGGATGAGGCAAGACAGCCCCCCCAGAAAGGCAAGCCTTGCCTCACAGAGGGATGCTGGCTGTTCTGAAGTTTTGTTTTGTCTTGCTTTTCGCTACAGAGAACAGTTACGCCCGCAGCCACCTCCTCGAGGAGAACCTCATTGATTTCTTCGTGCCGTTCCTGCCCCTGGAGTACCACCACGTGAAGCTCTGTGCGCGGGATGCTTTCCTGGCCCGTGGACTTCCGTACACCGAGGCAGCCCTCGAGGAGGTGGCCAGGTTGATGGTGTTTGTCCCCAAAGAGGAGAAGCTTTTCTCTGCACAGGGCTGTAAATCTGTATCCCAGCGCATCAATTACTTCCTTCCTTGAACACCAGGTGGGACTACACCAGTGGTGAAGGTGGTTCTGCACACTAGGAGCTGCTCTCCTCTCACAAGGTCAGGCAAGCAGATTACCCAGCCATGCACTTGCACAGGGACAGAGACTTAACCCCTTGTTACTCCGAGGGCTGTTTGCAGGGAAGGAGGTGCGCCCTGCCCAGCCTTACTCCTGGGACACCGGGACAGCCTGCTCTTGGCTGCATTTGAAGTCTGTCCCTTCTTTTAGCAGGTGGTAGCCTGAAGCGGTGATTTGGTTGTGCTGGTAGGCACTTTGTTTCACATGAGCAGGGATGTCCAAGTCCTTGCTTTGTTACCGTGTAATGAAGGCCTTGGACAGGCCGGTCCTGTCGAGACAGTCCGGCAGAAGCCACGTCCTCATCCCTGTCCCATTTTGTCAGTCACTTTACAAGCTCTCAGACTGCACAGAACTGTTTTGCTGGAGTTGAGGTTTGGTTTTTTTCTCTATTGCTTTCCTGCATTCACAAAGCGACTGCTGCTCAGGGATGCATGTGCCAGGACCGTGGTTTGTGCAGGAAGGCCCTGGTATAGAGAAAATGAGTGAATAATCTCTTGGAGATGTCAAATCCACTCACATTGGAGTGTCCCCCTCTCATTGGAGTCTTTCGTTGTATGGAAGCAGCTGCGGGGATGAGGTGAACTTCTGCTGAAATTGTCTTTTTCTAAAGCAATTTGATGGAGAGCCTGTTTGCTTCGCTGCAAAATGAAAAAGGGGAGACTAATTCCCCTTTCAAGGGCAAAGGGCAGTGGAGGAGGATGGTGGCTGAAGGAACAGGCTGCAACTGAATTCAGCTTTTCAGGGATGCAGTAAGCTTGGGGTTTTTTTTCTTTTTTCCCAGTATGTTGCATGCTGTGGTTTTTTGGCTGGTATCAGCATTACTACACCAAGGGGCTGTTTGCTGTCTGGGTACTTGCCAGGTGATAAGAATGTTACAGCAGGACCAAAAAAATTTCAACAGTGTTACGGGAATCGCTTTGTGACCTCTGGGTCAAAACTCCCTTCCAACACCGCTGGGCTGGGGCGGTGAGGTGAAACAGCACGCGCCAAGGACGGGGCTTAGCTCCCTGGACACCCCTGTGCGGACCTTTGGTCTATTTTAAGCTTTGAACCTCTCTGCGGTGCCAGTGATGAGCAGCACGACCTCTGGGAAAAGATTGACCAGTCCTGCAGACTGTGAGTTTGTGTTTCCCTCCAGGCACGCTGGCTCCGTTATCTAAAGAGGCTTCATAGTCCAAGGCAGGAAGAGGAGCCGGCTGCTTTCTTCCTGCTCAACAATGCAAAGTTAGTTTAAACCTACCTGTTGTCACCAGATTGGCTCTCAGGCACTTCTGAGACTTGGTTTATGGCTATCTATCTCTTCATCGCAGGTGTCAAGCCTAAAGCTTCAGCCTGTGAAATGGTGGAGGGAAACATGCCCGGGGAAGGGCGGCTACAGCCCCAGATGGGGACACAGCTCAGGTTGTGTTTTATAACCTGGGCAGAAAGTTGTTAGTTAATTGCTTAAAAGGTTGTATAAGCCAGGGTAACCTACAGATTTTTTTACAACAGAGAAGAATCTTCAGCTGTCCAGGTTAGACAGATGCAGATTAAAGTAGAAGGGAGTCACTGTGTCAGCCGTTTCACCAGCGTGGGGCTGGCATGTTAAGCAGTTCTTACTCTGTTACTGATTAAGGAGGTGGCGGTGTTACTAACGAGGGCAACTGTCAAACCTATGATGCAAGACCCTACGTTCTGCCAGGTCACACTCGTGTATGTTTGATAATTAAGTGAGCATTTGATTATGCAACCCCAACAGCAAGAACCGCTCACCTCTGACCACTCCACGGCAATGTTAAGTTTGATTTTAAAGGCATAAATAAAGACACTGCTTTTCTTTGCAATCTGGGAGAATTAAATTATTGTCCTTTTCAGCAGGTTTATCATCATCTTTTCTACCCCAAATAACAAGTTTCAGGTTAGCACTAAGCAGCTTCAAATATTCCTTAAAAAAAAAAGTAGCAACTACTCAAGTGTTTTTTGCCAATAAAATATTGCAACCTTTATTTAAAACAAAATGCAAATTGGCAAAACTTTGTGGAACGACAGGCAAAGAGGTCCTTCAAAGGGCCTTATTTACATCAAGTTTAACACTGTTCGCAGTTCACAGTCAGACGATAGTGAGAGAATTAAATTAGAAAAAACAACCAAAATATATTACAATAACAATTAAAAACAAAAACAGTTGACAACACTGGTAGAGTGATTGGTGATTAACGTGTTTCATTTTAAACCATTCCTGCCCTCCATGAGTTCACTACTGATACAAAGCCGATCGGGCTTTACCTCCCATGCACAACAGACACATTGTTTGGAAGAATGACCTCCTTTGGTACAGGCTTTTCTTTTTGTATAGGTATTATAAGTAAGTCAAGTCAGGTGTCCCGTAACCTCTTATTTCCTACCACCCAGGAATAGGCTGAAGGTTTTGTTCTACGCTGCAGGAGCGCAACCCCGGTGCCCATCCGTGCTAGAAGGTGCCACTCGCACTGAAGTGGGAGGTTTCTGAGCACGCTGCAGTCGCTGCCCTTCCTGCCAGCTACTGATGAAACAGTAGTGCTGGACTGTGTGTTTTAAAAGAGAAGACAGCAGCCTGTTACATTTGCAAAGAAGATACTCTGGGTTTATTAGTGCTTGTCACAGCTACTGCTGCTGCCAGAGAGCACCGATGAGCAAAATGCAGAGCACCTCTGCCCTAGGTAAGCGGTAAAGACATCAGGCTCTGGATTTCTTTATGACTGCACAGCGTAACCCATCCTAACCGCTGCCTTTTAGGGAGGGGCTGCTCTGTTAACACGGCAGTTCTGGTGCAGCTATTGCCCCACGCATGGGGTTTAGTTCCCGCTGCCCGCAGAGAGCGGTCTGCCATAAAAACTCTTGCGCGAGCACACTTACGTGCGTTTGCATCTCACTGACACAAGGCCAGTGGTGGTCAGGAGAAATGTCCTGTGTGAGGAGGATGGGGACAGTCCCCCCTTCCTCACAGTGTTCTGCATTGGCAACACTGCTCCATTCAATTCCGCTTTCCCAGTGGCTAAATCTGATGCAGTCCCAAGACCCAAACTCTTAATTCGGCTTCACCCCTGTCCGCACTAGTGAAAAATACAATCGAATCGAAGTGCTGCCCCTCAGGCAGCTGAGTGTACCACTTCTGGTGTTGAAAAGGGTGTACAGTGCAGGAAGAGAAGAGAATGGCACCTGTGAGTCAGCTAATTCCCCACAGTAGCGAGGAAGAGAAAGTGCCCCACGTCAACTCACTCGTGTGAGCGTACGCTTGTGCTTGGCATTACCAGGCCCTACACGACGCCATCCCCGTTGCAAAGGAGAGACTACTTCAAATTCTAGCCCATACTAGTGCAAGTGAGAGAGCCCAGCTGCAACTGCATCCTTCCCACGCAAGGCCTTCTGACAGCGGTGAGGAAAGGAAAGTCAGTAGGAGCTTATGCCTTGTCCCTACCCTAAACAGTGGAGCAAGAGGGTGCTCTTCACCAGGGCAAGTAACAGGGCTTCACCATCCTTATGTTACTTTGTATGTACTGGGTAAGGCTACAGTGGAGAAACTGCTACAGTAGAGACCTTTAAGGCTGAACAGAAAGCCAAACCTAGCACAAGGGAGAAGGCATGGTAACAATTTTGGGAGAGTAGCTGTGGAAGGAAGAACAACTGAGCAGTGATTTACAGCAGAACCAGCTTTCCCAGATACCACCCTTTTGCTATCCTGCCAGAACGCAGGGGAATTCCAGTTTGGGAATAAAACACTGGTGGCCAGCAGAAGCAGCAGCAATTCTTCAGCCCCCTATTTAGGGGGAAAAAACCACCTACCTCTGCCACCATCTACCTACCTGACGTAAGATAACAGGTAAGAGGAGAGAAAACACACTCTGTAGGAGTGATCACAGGCACATCCCCAAATTGCGCAGTTCTGTGTTCTTCCTCCACTGCAGGGATCAGAACTGAACAGGCTTCTGTGTTGCCTAGAGAGGTTGTGGAGTCTCCATCCTCAGAGATATTCAGAAGCCATCTGGACACAGCAGTGGGGTTGGACCAGGTGACCCCCAGCGATCCTGGTAAGACCCCACCTGCAGTGCTGCATCCAGCTCTGCAGCCCTCAGCACAGGAAAGACATGGAGCAGTTGGAGCAGGGCCAGAGGAGGCCACAAAAATGATCAGGGGGCTGGAACAGCCCTGCTGTGAGGACAGGCTGGGAGAGCTGGGGGGGTTCAGCCTGCAGCAGAGAAGGCCCCAGGGAAACCTTACTGCAGCCTGACAGGACTTAAAGGGGGCTTAAGAAGAAAGATGGGGACAGACTTTTTAGCAGGGCCTGTAGTGACAGGACAAGGGGTGACAGTTTTAAACTAAAAGAGGGCAGATTTAGACTAGATACAAGACATTTTTGACAATGAGGGTGGTGAAACCCTGGCCCAGGTTGCCCAGAGAGGTGGCAGATGCCCCATCCCTGGGAACATTCCAGGTCAGGCTGGACGGGGCTCTGAGCAACCTGATGGAGTTGAAGATGTCCCTGGCTCAGTGCAGGGGGGTTGGACTAAGTGGCCTGTAAAGGTCCCTTTTCCCACCTCAGCCATTCTGTGACTGTAAAAGCAGATGGCTGCTTCAGCTGTACTACTGTGTACTGCCCCTCACCTCTGCCGTGTGGAGGAGAAACCAGGCAACATCTGAAAGGAAGCGGGCATGACCAGTGGAGGGGAACTAGTCCTTCATTAGGGCAGAGTTAGTTAGTTTCTTTGGAAGGGTCAGAAAGGGCTGAAAGAGGGGAGTTTTAGTAGTTAGAAATTCCAGGAACTGTTTGCTAGTCTGTCACTTTTGCTGGAGCTTTTCTGGAAGACTGGCATTCTGGGAGGGGTAAAAAAAAAAAACCCAACCTTCTTTCAAAATACTCATCAGAACTGGACTAATAGCCTTAAAATTTTCTGGTT